TGTAACCTGTTGGAATTTTAAATCCAATACCAGCTGAGTCACATTTAACAATTTTCTAGGTCATCCACTGGATTGTCACACATATACACATGCTTAAAAAAAGATTATTCCTTAACACCCAAGGTGCAACCCCTATAGCGTTTCTCAACTCACACACTGGTGGCAGGATGTGCTTTGTATCTGTATATCACGCGGCATTGTTTCAACACTGTGTGTGTAGTCCAGGCTAATGTGTTGACACAGCAGGACATCAAAGAGGAACGGAGTTATTGTTGTTGTTATTGTAGTGTCATCGGGGTGCACACTGCTGAGTATTGAACTGGAAGGGAGTTTGGTGACACAGACAGTTGGGTGACACAGAAGGGCTGGGGACTTGCGGTGACATTTTGGCTTGTTTTTATTGATCTGGTCGCATTATTGGTTTGACTCCGGTGTCAGGTAAGATGGATTCATTGCTTAAAGTTTTCAGTGGCTTGGATTTTGGTGGATGAGAGAATCATTTGTTGGCAAGACACAAGTTTGACAGGAGTGATAATTGATGTTTGGCCTTTAGTGGTGTCTGTATGACAAGCAGAAGAACTCCGTAGATGAACAGCTGAAATCTGCCCTACATTTCAAATTGGATCATGGGTAAGACGCAGGGTGGGAGTCTGAGACATGTAGAAAATGAAGCTCAAAATTTTAAGATTAAGATTTCTTCAGAGTGTTTAAACTTACAACATCAAGTGTCCTCTAGTTCTGTACATTTGAATTGGTGAAATAGTGTGTCAGAATAGCACCTTGAATTGTTATACTGTGTTGTCGTGTTTGTACAGTGACAGCAGACTAGAATATTAACGATTGACGTCTGTTCGTCTCACAATAGTGGATCGGGTGTGAAAGGGGCATTTAAAAGTCACAGATAACAATGTTTTTACTCAAGTGACAATGCAGGTTTTGAAAGTGGAGGACTGCGGCATATAGATTAGTGCTCTTATGGCAATTTTGATCAGAATTGCCAAGGGATTATTGCATAAAAGAGAGTTATGTACATTGGAAATTAGGTTGACAGTGTTTGAACACTATATTTCTTCAAGTCTGCTTTACTTATTCTGAATGTAAGGACACTGGGTATTATAGGTGAAAATAATGGCATTTCTATGTAGCATTTGAGCTTGGTGTGACAGGTGATTTTTTTTTTTTTTTTTTTTTTTTTTGTAAAAGCAGACATCATGTATAAAGTAATCCAGGAAGTGGAATCAAATTTGTATTTTTTTTCATTGCTGCAACATTGCGTGTTTTTTAAGCAACTATACAACAGTGTAATATAATTTTGCCACAGTGTATTCTGAATCAAAATCAACAATACTTGCAGTACCATGCCTTAGATATTTTATTTCTATAAATTTTTGTTACCATTCACAGTTGTTGGACTTGATGTCATTGTGACCTTGTCATGTAGTGACACCTCATGTGGTATTTCTTTGCTCATTTGGTGTGTTTAGAGCAACAGATATAATATTTTCACCATTTTTTTATGGCCTTGATGATGTCTGGTTCACAGTGTTACTAGACAGTTAAATGTTTCATCTATTAAACGGTCTCTGTAACACCCCGCCCCCCTTAAAACTTCTGTATTTCTTCATCCCTAAAAAATAGAACTTGAAAAAAGAGCCGAGCTGCTCCATTTATTATCTTGACTCTCTTTAAATCAACAGGAAAGAACAGAAGGCGCAAGATTTTATCATGGAGGCCATAGATGTTACGGAGGAGTAAAGTTGGGATGTCCCTTTCATAAACTGACACTTCCGTTATTGTCACTTAAATGTCATTGTCACATAAGGTTTACAACACACATCTATACAGTGCACATTTTGACAGTTTAGTATACATGTGACATTGTCACCTTACATAGCGCCTCAGGTGACTCAGACTTTTCCAAGGTGTTACAACATGTGACATGAATTATTCCTCTGAGGTGACAGGTGGAACAGGACAGGAGAGTTAAAGTTAAGCCACCCATCTCTCTCTCTCTCTCTCTCTCCATTTGTGTACTCTGACACATACCTTACACCTGCTTGTTGACTACCACAGGAGTGTGTATAGTGACCTATTCAGAGAGAACAGTGGCTTTTACGGTCAGCTTTGATTTAAAGTTCGACTTCTACTGATCTACTTTGCCTCAACAGCAATTTCATAATCAAGGTTTGAAGAACTGAGTATGACAGTGACCTGTAATGGAATATGAGGATGTTTTGGGTTTTTTCTTTCTGCTCAAATCAGAGTTACTCCTCCTCTGATCCATGCATAGCCATGGCAGTTGTTGTTGTGATAATCTAAGGTTTGAAAACATAACAGGTGAGTTGAAAAACTTGTTGACTGAGACAACAGGTGGATGAGAAAAGGAGTAAACTGTCTGTTGCGGTCTGGTTGAAATACCTTGTCTCTCTTTCCTTTGGAATTGATGGCAAGTCTGAACAGAGAGAGAGAGAGAGAGACCAGTAAGGCAAAAACAGATGGGACTAAAAAACAGATGGGACTAAAAAATTCAATAAAGATGACCTGGATAATATTTGTAGATCTATTCAGCCTTATTAATGCCATATGGAGAAGTGTACTTTCATAGGATTACACTTATATATTGACATTGATATGAAAATTGCAGGTGTCAATCACCTGAAATGACAGATGGTCAAATTTGCCTCCCTTTCCCTGTAAGTCTGGGGTCAATGTTGACAGCTCCTATCATTTAGGAGGCCAGACCTATCCCTTTACTTAATCAAGCATCATTAATGAGACTCTGGGCGAGGTAATATATACCCAATTTGACATCTGATCCAAATACATGTGTGTCACACCAAGGTGATCAGTTTACAAGACCTAACAGGTAGATTTGTGGAGGGGACAATGCTTGCCAGTGTCATCTCTACGGCGTCTCTCTTGACACAAAAATTGCTGTGAGAAATGCAAGGTTAGGCAGGATAAACAGCAGGCATAGCATTGGGTAAACTACATGTTGTTGATGACATATAAAACCTGTGTAAGGACATTTGAGGAGACACGAGACTTAGGTTTCACTATCAGTGCTGTAGGTGATATAGTGGACTGACTTGTATGTTTTATTTGATGTTTAAAGGTAAAGATGGTTTTTCCTGCCTTATATGATACCTAAGAAAGAAATTGGTTAGACAAGAAGAACAGTATTAGAATTCAAGCCTGTCATATAATTTGTGGTAATAGTTCTAATATTATACTGCACCACACTTGTCTTAGATTTTTATTACATTACTGGTAGTACTGTAAAAGTTGAGTCCAGTCAGAATTGTTACCAAGAGATGACTCTGTCTCTGAGAGAAGACCTTGTCCCACTCAGGCTGGCTGGGAGATAGGTGCCTTTTTCTCTTCTGTGGTTTCCAAGGTATTTCTTTTTAGATATTTTTCTTATCCAATGGTTGCGGAATATTATTATGGGAATAACTTTGCTGGATATTTGTGACCTTCTAAAGGAGTTTTCTAATTTAACTGGTTGGTGTACACTAAAGTGACTATGATGCATGGAAGCTGTAGTGCAGTTTATTAATATTGTTCACCTTTAAGAGACACAAAAAATAGAGCCGTGCCTTTAAAGTCAGGTGAAAAACCACTTACTAGGTATAAGGTTTATGATTTATGATGGTTGAGGAAAGATGTGATTTAAGTTTTAATGAATGCAGCACATACAGGTTCTCATTATTAGATGGAGATTGTGAAGTTATTTGTATTCATCAGTCATATCAAATGAATACCACTGTGTGTGGGTGTGTGCACGAATGTGCGTGCATGCATGTGTGTACGTGTTTTTAGATGTTGATGTGTGGGAATGTTTGTGTTAAGTACGCATATAAGAAGTGCTCACTTGTTGATCAGATGATTTCCATTTCTTACATTTGATGACGGAATCATTGCAATGTAGGCTTCTCATTAAGATTTGATTAAGTTGGCAAAAGTTGACGCTAAGTGGGTTAATGGTCGTATTTACTCATCTTCTCTGCTTGATGATTCAATGGGTTTCACCAGTAATGTTCAAGAGGAAGATTGAAAGTAAACACACTAGTTTCATCTCAAGTCTCAAAGACTACTGAGAAATGATCATTTATTGTTCGAAATAGCTCGGTTATGCCAGGATCAGTTTATGTTAACCGTTACTGAATTGGAAGATAGGAGTCGTGAGCTGACCGTGCCTAAGCGTTTGTTTTTTGGTTTTAACATATACATCTGAAGTAACTGAATAAACTGATAATTAGCATGGCATAAGGTGGGTTCTGCAAATAATAATATTTTCAACTGACTGTAGAGATTAGTTTCTAGTAATAACTGAAACATAGGGTGAATAATTCTCAAGGAGGGTAAATTGCCGCAGAGTTCCCAAATACTAGTTACCAAATATGGAGAAGTGCAACATAGAACATCTGTGCAACATTTTTAAAGAGTTCATTTTACAGATCTGTGCAATAATATTATCCCTGTTTGTCCTAATGTAGTAGGTTATGTGAAGTTGACATGCTAATACTCAATATGAATCCTGTTATGATAAGTAACATGGAAAGTAAAGGCTACAGGGTTTTATTTATTTGTTTGATATGTTGTTAGGTTGCTCTTAGGATGTAATTTTTATGAATAAAATGATATAATTGAACTGAATTCTATGTCAACAGAATTGAAATTGGATGATCAATTATTTTTATTGTAACAGTTGTAGTTGTTGTTATTAGTGTTGTTTTAGATACTGTTTCCAACAGAATACTGATAAAGAGCAATAGTGTTGAATTTGGTGCTTATTCTGATTTTTCTTGTTCTTAACTTGAAGTATGTAAAACAAACTATTAATTTCAGGCCCAGGCTTGCACTGTCTGTATCAAGAACATCAGTGTAGAGGAGGGGTAAAAAAAGGTGACTTTAGGCAGACAATCTAGAATCAAGGAATGTATTATGATGTGAGAGAGAGAGACATTTGATAAATCTTATTCTTTCGTTCTTTGCAGGCTAATATTTCCACTCACTTGGCAAGTGCACATAAAGGCTGGCCGTTGTGCTGGGAAAACTGTGTCATTATCCATTTAAACGATCCACCTAGGAACTTACTACGGGACGGTGACTTTTACCTTTGTTTAAAATGCAATATTAAAGACAGCGTTGATGTTATTGAAAACGACAACAGCAACCATAAAGACAGCTCCAGCAGTAACAACAGTGCCGATATTGGATTAGTTTTGCGATACTCCTCACCAAATGATCAACTTCAGGATATCGGTATTGAAGACGTCCGCAATTTATTCAAGATGTCTGGGATATATACACTGAAGGATGATGGGAGTAATTTGCGTGTCGTGCTCCGCCATTGCCTCTTGGCGGTGGAACAGGGAGTCCAGAGATTACGCTGGGACGAGGTGGTGTCTGGAAGTGCCGAATATCAGTCTCCCATTGCCGCCATTGTGGATAGCGTAGTACAGGAAAACAGTACTGGTAAGTTGGTATCATGATGATATGTAGTTGATAAATCGTACTTTTGCTAACGTTTTTGAAAAAAGAAATCTGAAGTAAAATCCCAGTCAAATAATGAGGAGTGATAACAATCTTGAATTTTCCATGATTTTTAAAAGGAAATTGCACATTGTCATTTTATCTTGGCTGTCTCTACCTGTACATATATCTGTTCCTGTTATTAAAATTTACTCAAGATGAATCAAGCAGATTGAAATAATAGGTGGAATTTGCTTTTAAAAATGTATGCCCTAGAAAATCATAAATATTGGAAATAAGAAGAACAAAGCTATCTTGACTTTATGTTGTCAGAAAGGGAGGAGCAATTGCGACCATGTTTTAATCTATCTACTTCCCATGTTCTTTTTGGTAACAGTTACTGAATACAGACTTTTCTACCTGATCCAAAACCTAGATTGGACACAAATGACTCCCTAATATGCTATTTAGTAATAAAACAAGGCTGTCGAACAAGCTCAGATGGCTTAATCATTTTAAAACGAAGGATAGGTACATTTGTATCCCAAATTCAAAGTACCACTGAAACTTTGATATGTTGATAAGATTTTCTCCAATGCACTAATGCACAGGTGGTGGAAATTGTTAAATGATTTGTCTCCTGGGAACATTAACATGTTGTCGGAAGCATGATATGTCAACGAGCATTTGTTATTCACATGTATCGAGACACATTGCTTGAAATACAAATTCCTCTAGAGAATTGTGAGAAAGGGGGTGTTAAATAGATACACTAAATAACAGTGCTTCTATGGATATATTTTTCAATATTTAAAGAATCTTATTTGTGAAGGGAATTAAAGCAATAGAAAATGTTTGGCAAAAACTTTTTTTAAAGAATGATACTATTAGTGCACTGAGTGCTTATGAAAACATAACCTTATAACCTTCATCACCTAAGCCTTAACCAGTGCCCTTCAATTTCCATACTTCTCTTAATAAGAGGTGACAGCCATAATTTGTTCTTGATTGTTTCTATCTTATCTAAACCACATCTATTAATTGTAACTTGACAGGATTAAACTGGACCTGACACACTTGGTGTTTACAGGGGAGTTTTAGGTGCATTCAATATTTGGGTGGCAATTAAACTGACACTGGAACATGAGATAGTGTGTCATAGTGAATGGACTCTCACCGGACCAGTAAAAGTCCACCTTATTAAAGAGAGAATGTAAGGTTTTGCATTGTAAAACTGGTGGCTATTTAAGCTGAGAGAGAGAGAGAGAGAGAGAGAGAGAGAGAGAGAGAGAGAGAGAGAGAATCCATCTCATCCAAGCAAAAATTGTTCAAACATTCTCCTTTTTTCTCCTCAAGATAATAAGAATATTTTTAGTATTTAGTATAAAAAATGTACTAGTGAAGTGTATATTGTTATACAGAGATATGTATCTTTAGGTGAAGATCTGACCCACAGTGTGCCTGCTGAGAGCAGGAGCATGGTTATCTAGGGATGTGATTGTGTTCTCACGATAGGTGTGAAAAATGCAGTTGCTGATAACACTATGGAGATCATGTCGAGTCAATCTTCTCCCTGTTTTTCCACCCACTGTCAGCATCATTTTGATACGTTGCTTTTCTGTAGACAGACTTACTATCGCAGGCTGAGAAATAATTTTTTTCTGCTCAATGACCTCAATTTAGCCCCCCCCCCCCCCCTTTAACCCTTCTCTCAGGTATTTTATGAGCAAGGAGTTGTAAGTTTTTTCACTAAGATTGCTGAAAAAAGGGTTAATAGACTTTTAGATTCTTTATAAAATGCAACTTAGTTTCAGAGTAAAGTTTAGAGCAGTCTTATTTAAAGAGGGGGGGGGGGCAGTCCTCCACCAGTGGCTTATCAGTGAGCCCTGATAACAGAGGTGTTAATTAGACTTCTATCGCACAGGTAAGCTGCTCAGGTATGGACCTAGAATAAGTGAACCAAAGGGTGAGGGAAAGAAGGGGGGACAGGTAGGTAGGTGTGGAATGTTCATTGTTTTTGTTTTTTTTTTTTTTTCAGAATACATTGGTAATCATTGACAATAGTGTATGAGAATTTCATTTGATAGTTGCGAGACTTCCTTCTCATGTAAATTGAAAAATGAATTGTTGAATATGATTTTTTAAAATTTGGGTGGTAAATCTTAAAGAGGCCTTAGTTGGATCCAATTTTTTATTACATGGCATGTGATAAATTCAAATAGTGTGTTAATAAATGGTGTCAGAGCTTGGGGACCGGGTTATTTCGGGTGCCGTAGGATTTATTGGGCTCCTTTGTTTAACTCTAACCCAGTCTGAAATTAAAAGAAATCCAGTTTGTCTGGATGAGAATTGAATTACTCTTACTTTTGAGAAGATGATGTAGTTGAATATAGGAATATTATCTTTAAGAAAACCCTCTTTCCAGTGAGATGCTCATTTTTAAAGGGAAAGATCCTCTGGTATTGTTTTCCGAATTTGAATACAACTCCAACACTGTTAATGATAATGATATCATATTTGGTATGAATTGAATTTACATTCAGTGTTCATTTTCTGTACTAATTTTCTAGTTTTTAATCACCCTCTAATTGAGTTTCTCTTAATTGTATTGTGTTTTTCGATAATGAAATTTTTGCCCAATCTCCATGGTTGTTTAGCATAGAAAATTTTAATCATTGTCAAGATTCATAACAAATGGGAGTGACTTAATCATCTAAATTGGGACAATGCCATAATGAATTAACAATATTTCATGAAAGAAGAATGGATTTCATTACACATGATTGAATGGTTGTTAAACAACATCATTGTCTTTTTACAAATTGTTTTGATTATGCAGCAGGCTGATCCATGTGATTTGAAAAAGGATTAGGACTATTTCATTAAAAGTTGGTTACCCTTGTTGGAAAAAAAGGCATTGTGCAACTCATGGTAGAATACACAGTAATGATTAAAAAAACTCATTGCAAATTTATTTTATCAAAATTGATTACATTATACAATACAAACAATGTCCAAAATCACATATTACCTTAGCATTCAAAGCTTCCCAATAACAATTTATCATGTGTCAATCAAATACGCTGGCAGTTTCATTGCATATTTGTTTATGTTCTTTCTTATATACCTAGCAGCGCTTTTGGACATCACTTTTGGATAGCTCCCATCTTTGATAAACCTCTACAATCTTACATTAGTTTATTGGCATTAGTGCATTTCCTTGGACATTAGGGCCTCTCAAGAGCAACATTGTGGAAAACATCAATAGTTTTCAATCAATGAAGGTGCTTAACAGTACTTAGTGTTGGTCAGTTACTATGCAATCTCTGCCTTGTTACTCTGTCCATTCCAGGGCTTAAACTAACACAAACTTTTCATCCATGGCCTTCAGTCGATGAATCTGACCAAAGCAAAATTTAAAAAATTGTTTTTTTTTTAAACCAAATTGTTAATAATTTTTCCAAAATTAATTTCAAACTGTTTTAAGTGAGAGAAGAGTAGTAAATAGNAATTTTCCCGTACTTACCAATGGTCAGCGACCCCATTCCTGCATTCAAAGTTAATCCAGGGTTTTTTTCCTAAACGTACGGTTTTTTGTTAAAATCTCTTAAGAGATTTTAACTGACGGAGCTCTCTCTGACATCGCATAGTCACTGTTGACCTACTTAAAACCGCGGGAAAAGTTGACAACAACAACACTATATAAGATTCATGAGATATATTCGTCTTTTTGTTAAAAATACATAATATCCACAATGTGTGCCGTTCTGGGCTTTTTGTTATCCGACGCACTGTACAAAAACTCGCAACTTACGTCTGCGTCCGCATTAATGCGTTTGGCGCCATATGTTATTTTGGTCTCGAATGAACGCGAGAATCCGCGTGACACCATTACGTCATTAGCAACGAATGCCTTGATGAAAGCTTCGAAAGCCCTATTGACAAGCACAGATTTTAGTTTTACTACAATTACGGCCGTTTTAGTGGTAAAATACAATAGAATATATTTCCATGCGTTGTTTACAATGTATTTCATGCGGAATTTTGAATCTCAAAGGAAGAGTTATTATTGCTTTAACTCTAACCCAGTCTGAAATTAAAAGAAATCCAGTTTGTCTGGATGAGAATTGAATTACTCTTACTTTTGAGAAGATGATGTAGTTGAATATAGGAATATTATCTTTAAGAAAACCCTCCTTCCAGTGAGATGCTCATTTTTAAAGGGAAAAATGCTCTGGTATTGTTTTCCGAATTTGAATACAACTCCAACACTGTTAATGATAATGATATCATATTTGGTATGAATTGAATTTACATTCAGTGTTCATTTTCTGTACTAATTTTCTAGTTTTTAATCACCCTCTAATTGAATTTCTCTTAATTGTATTGTGTTTTTCGATAATGAAATTTTTGCCCAATCTCCATGGTTGTTTAGCATAGAAAATTTTAATCATTGTCAAGATTTATAACAAATGGGAGTGACTTAATCATCTAAATTGGGACAATGCCATAATGAATTAACAATATTTCATGAAAGAAGAATGGATTTCATTACACATGATTGAATGGTTGTTAAACAACATCATTGTCTTTTTACAAATTGTTTTGATTATGCAGCAGGCTGATCCATGTGATTTGAAAAAGGATTAGGACTATTTCATTAAAAGTTGGTTACCCTTGTTGGAAAAAAGGCATTGTGCGACTCATGGTAGAATACACACTAATGATTTAAAAAACTCATTGCAAATTTATTTTATCAAAATTGATTACATTATACAATACAAACAATGACCAAAATCACATAGCATTCAAAGCTTCCCAATAACAATTTATCATGTGTCAATCAAATATGCTGGCAGTTTCATTGCATATTTGTTTATGTTCTTTTTTCTATACCTAGCAGCACTTTTGGACATCACTTTTGGATCGCTCCCATCTTTGATAAACCTCTACAATCTTACACAAGTTTATTGGCATTAGTGCATTTCCTTGGACATTAGGGCCTCTCAAAAGCAACATTGTGGAAAAACATCAATAGTTTTCAATCAATGAAGGTGCTTAACAGTACTTAGTGTTGGTCAGTTACTGTGCAATCTCTGCCTTGTTACTCTGTCCATTCCAGGGCTTAAACTAACACAAACTTTTCATCCATGGCCTTCAGTCGATGAATCTGACCAAAGCAAAATTTAAAAAATTCGTTTTTTTTTTTTAAACCAAATTGTTAATAATTTTTCCAAAATTAATTTCAAACTGTTTTAAGTGAGAGAAGAGTAGTAAATAAAAAAATTATTACATCTGTGAACTTGGTAGCCTCCTCCTCCTCCCCAATCAAAATGCCATGGTTCAATGACAGTCTCTGGGCCTTGCAAAATTAATTTACGTGAGTGATGAATTAGTAAGAAAGTTGAAATGTTAGTTCTTTTCCTTGCTGAAACTTTATCTCAGCAGCAGATGCAATGCATTTAATTATAAATGTGGACTCGTCCCCACCAAACCAACATCCAACCTGTCCTCCCTACTGGAAATCAAATGGTGTGACCCAATTGACAATCAGCAGCAGTAAGTGGAGGCAGGCGGCTGAAAATCGTGAATGAAATAAGTGTGGTAGAGAGAGAAGGAGGGAGAAGTAGAAAGGGGAGTGTTTTAAGCAGTTGTGGATTTCCTGTCTAGAAAGTAAGATTTATGGTGAAATACTTGATCTGTCTGTCTGGACGAAAGGAAGTTAACCAAGGGAAATCCTTGTGAAGCTATAAGTTCAGATGAAAAAAACTTACTTCTAGTGAAGGGAATGGTGATTTATTCAAGGATGTTACAGAAAATATGATATTATATTGTCATTGACTCTAGATCTGCAGTTCATAAACACTGTCACTGGAGTGGACAGTTTAGGATTGCAAGTGAAATTGAATCTGTAAATTTGACAACTGTTGCACAACCTTTGGAGTGATACCATTGAAATTGGAGCTGTATTTTGATACCACATAGTGGACCATTGAAACTGACCTTACTTGTGTCCTGCTGAGGTCATTCTTGACCAGTAATTCATTGTCCGTTTGAAACATCGAACAATAGCCAATTGTCCTAGCAGATAGCAAAAGAAATTTGATAAACTGAGGACTGTGAACATGAACTTACACTGAATGAAACTCAGACAATATATAATATCATACACAGAGATGAAATGGTTTCTTCACAGACAGTAAAAGTGTAACATCAGAGCTAGGCTTATTTTCAAAGACAGACTAAAACGATGGATATTCTGGACTTTTTAAGGATGCTATTCCAATAATCTGCAAAAGAACAAATACCTGTAGACGACTGTCAACTTAGTTGATCAATTTTAACATGACAACTGCCAAGTCTGATGGTGTGCATGTTATTTATTTTATTATAGAAACAAATGAGGAGGATGAAGAAAATGGTGGCACGGTGACAACTCCTAGGTTAGAGTTACCGCAGTCGGTTCTGGATGTTAACTACGATGTGTTGAGTTCAGGAATTGCAACTCTTCCAGGTAAGTTAGAATAATGTGTACATAAGAATAACGCTGATAAATTTTTTGAACAATTTTGTCTTTCATTATTGTTTATACCTGATAAATATTGATGGATATCAGCAAGGGCAGCCCAGTATTGTTTGAAACTGTTGATTATTTATTTATTTATTTTTTTTTTTTTTTCAGATAAGATGCATTTTATATGGTATTTAATGATTTAGGAATAGTTATGTAAGATAATTTTCAATGCAATTTAATTTTTTTAAAATTTTAAAGGGAACCCATATAGTCATGCATGTATGCATTATATTAAATATCATTGGTGCCGTGACTAAAAAAGGGATGAAAGCGTGGGAATGTTTTTATGTTGTTCTGTATCTTTATTTTGACTGCTGGTAAGATTCTGTACAAAAATAAACCACCACATGTCTAGATTGTTTTTATGATAGGCTGATGTGACAACTGCTTAGTGAATACAAGGTCATTAGATCTTGAGTCTATCTAAAATACTTCTTGTTTCATTCAGGGAATGTACAATTTTACCGAAAATAAGTGATAAAATGACAAGTGATAATTTTTTCTTTTTCCTTGCCCAAAGTAAAATGGTGTAAAGTATTTGTCAAACTTTTCACATGCTTAGAGTGACCTGTATTATGATGTCTATGTGGGTACATTTTAGAGATAGAGAGTCACAGATAAACCATCACTGTTGACTTAAGTTATCTGTTCAAAATGGGTGTGGATGTAACGGCATCAGTTATCGATATATATTATTTGAACAGCAATTACTGAAGTATGCAGGTATTATCTTGCGACAGGATGTTTTGAATTTTATCTATTAGGTATTTCAAACATGAAATATAGAAGATTGCAACCAACTATTTGCAGTATTTATTTATTCATTTATTTGACTTTTTCTGCATAAAATGAAAATGCAAAGAGGTGCAACTTTATTTGGCTTTCGTTCATAAGATCTTTACTAATAAAAACTCAGAGATGTTAACGGAAATCCTTGAATACCGGTGACATCCAAAGGGAGTGGTAACTTTTTTCTTACTGCAGTGCATTTTTCACTGCATGCACAGGAGTGTTGGAGAAACCTGACTTGCATTAGCTATTTGTTGTTATTTAAGTGTGTTAGATAATCCACATCAGATCTTCAGAATGGAGAATTGTTTAGAAAGACAGCACTGCTCTATTACCACCAGGAGAGAGGGGGGTGGCTCCAACACGATATGGATATCGTCTTTGTATTTTCACTGATTGACACATGGAAATATCTTTTAGAGGGAAAAAATGCTAGGGAACATTATGCACAGTTTGCACTGATACTGTCAAATGTTATTTATATCTTTGCAAATAGCTCCAGGAAGAAAGATATTTAAAAAAGAAAAAAAAAAAGAAAGTGATTAACTAACACTTTCACCAGTGCTGCATCTTGTGACTGAGTGTAATTTGTTTGAACTTAAAAGTCTTTCTAAAAAAAAAAAGGAAGATGAAGATTGTGTTGAGAATAGAGGTTATGGTACTAGCAGGATCGATCTATCTCCACAGGGATTCTTGCTAAGGTGTAGTCAATGTAATCAGCTTAACTGTCTGGCACACCCCCTCCTAACTTGATGTACCTGGTAAAGTCAGGACAAACTTTGTAGTCTATGATGTTGTTCATGTTGCTTTGTTTTGTTCATTTTGGAATCTCCGCTAAAATAGGTCTATTCTGAACACAGCCAGCTCAAGGAAGGAAATTATTTAAAATGGAAAAGACGGAAAGTGATTAACTAACACTTTCACCTATGCTGCATCTTGTGACTGAGTGTAATTTGTTTTAAGACATTAGGCTTTCTAAAAAGAAAAATAAGGAAGATTTAGACCATTACAATCTTGTATGCTGTCTATTTTGCTAAAAGAACTATCATTGTTATCGTCAGCCTTGAAGTACAACCATATTTTTAAAAGCATTAGGCTCAAGTTCATGTTAAATTTAACCTAATGCTCCAAGTAAAACCATTATTATATTCAGACATCATGCTAAATTTAAACATAAAATAGTGGGGTTCCCAAATGTTACAGCTATTTTTGGTGCCATCATCATGACAAACCATGAAGAATATTGAGGAAGAAGGTAATATAGTAATTGAATGATATCTCCACAACCTCCTTGCTGTCTATAATATAATAACATAGAATTACGACCATTATAGAAGCTATCTGCCTGTACAATCACCGCCAACTATCACTCCATAAGCAGCCTCTGCTCTTTGTCTCGTTTGTCATTTTTGCTCAAACGACCGTGATGAATGGCCCTGGGGGATGAAGATCTAATGTCCAGTCTGTATTTCTTTGATTTGAAAAAGGACTGTAATGATGGTGTACGAGGTCATAAATGAAAGGGGAGAGAGAGACTGCGTTGTTTCTTATCAATGGAGGCTTATAGTATTGCACTTGAAATGAGTTCTGAGAAGAAGTTCATTCTTGTTAGGTGGGCTTATAGCTCGCAATTTCAAGGGGGAAGGGTCTTTTTGTGAAAAAGTGGATCTTTTTACCGTGAAACCTTCATGCACCTAAATTTAAATGTACCCAGA